GTGGGGGTGTTAGTGTTTTATGGCGCTCGCAATTGCATAAGGTAATATGACCGCGTGGGACACATTAAACATTTTCAGTTGGAAGGAAATTTTGAATTTTGCCCAGGTGGCGGCCAAAATCTCTTTTATTGATTTTGGACCATCAAGGGATCGTCTTTAAGGAACACAACTTGCACACAGGACCTCCGAGATTTTTCGCCCTTATCCGAAAAGGCTAGGTGTTCGATCTTACCTACCGCACCATAAGATCAGGGGGTGTGGACGAAAGACAGCAGTAAGAAGGAGCCACGGAGTAGCAGTAGAAAGACTGCAGAAAGAGTCAGAAACCCAGAGGAGGGGGCAAAGGAGGTGAGGGGGTGGGGGCACAAAGTGGGGAAGAAAACAGACGACAGAACATTCTTAAAGTTAGAGAGCAGGAAAGGAGGTTAAAGGAGAAAATTTTTAGAAAAAATTTTCCGTTGCTGTCCGGATTCGAACCCGGGACCTATTGAATGAGAGGCGAACATAGGTAACCTCTCGACCACGAGAGCCCCCCAAAAATAAACATTTTCTCTTAAATATTAACCACATATGGGACTCTTTTGGGTTCCACGTTCAATTTTGAGGAATCAAACATTGTGGCGAAACTTAATCGTCAACAGTTTACATTGACACAAATTATCTCACTTAGGAGGCAGGCTGCTTCAACCTTGCTTGTCAGGGAAAAACACCCGCTGAAAGGAATCAGTGCCCCAGCAGACAGATAGTTGAGATAGAGATACTCAATGAAATGGATTTTTAAAAACCCACATCAGCATCAAAGTCAGTTAATTCACATCTTCAGCAGTAAAGTGAATTATAACCAAAGCAGTCACATCCACACAGGTGAATATTTTTTTAGACTTAATCCTGTCCCCGTGGTTTTATGCACCCCGAATAATTTAGCAAAATTTCATCATTTTTTGCATAATTTCTGATTATTTTCCTTTATCATTCTTCGTTAAAATTAACAGAATCGCATAATTTCACATTTTTGGGCTCAGTTTGCATAATTTCAGAATTTTTCTTGCATATATATAAAACGACGGCGACTTATAATGCAATGGGGATGAACATCCTACAAAATTATGTTGGACAGTCGCAAAGTTAGCCACAAAATTCAATTTTCGATTTCCTCAAGAAAATTTCGCTTTGTGTTAAAGCAGAACATTTTTTTTTCTCCTTTAACTTTAAGATCATCTTTTGATTCCTGGTTAACGCTGAGAACAAAAAATAGATACAGACAAACCTCATTGCGGCAGCGAAAAAAATATGTATTTTAATATTATTTTCATTTTTACATATAAATAGTCACCCAAATATTGCAGATAAACCAGTTTACTTCCACATTACATTGGATAATTCACGATAACTTGTGTTCAACTGATGGAAATGGAAGTCATGAAAAAAAATTGGATTTTATGCAAATCCAATCTGGGTCATTCGACGAGGGAGAAAAAAAAATCGGAGGGCTCTGATTTTATCAGAGTAAGGCAGAATTAATTTTCTTTTTTAGAAAAATGTAAAATTATGATTTTGATTAAAATAAATGTATGTCAATACACTGTGGAGTCAGGAGCAGGTAAAATTTTGGGGGTAATATAAAGTAACAGGCATCATCAGAAAAAACTTTGCTCTTAATGAAATTATAATAAAAATAATAATAATTAACAGCATTTTTTGGTATAGCCATCCCCACACGCAGCAAAGCTCTATCTATGCATTTTACACTATGTTATTATCCCAACAGACCATAAAACACTCCGAAACATTCTTAGCTTTCCAGGAAGAATACAGTGCAAGCGCTCAAACACTAACAAACTGACAAGATCTTCCACTGCCTATAGCTGGGTGCCCATTTCCACCTGGTTGAAGTGAGGAAAATTCTTGTAAATTGCCTTTCCCAAGGACACAACGTCGAGCCTCTGGAGGAATTCGAACATACGTTCTTACGGTTGCGAGTCTGAGAGCCTAATCACTAGGCCACCGACGCCACAGATACGGTATACCTGACCTGCCGACCCCTCTTTGACCAAAAGCAGAGGTCCGTTTTGTTGGTCGGCTGACCCTCTGCGAAACTCTTTCCGCAGTTTTTCTCAAAATCCACCCCAAAAATAGCAGTTTGAGAACAAAATTCAAAGCCTTCAGAACCCTTGTAGAATAAGATTCCATACAAACCAAGAGTGGCAAATCAAAATTTGTGGGGTTCAGTATTATAAAACATTAATAAATATCGCAGTGTACTTTCACTATACTATGATGATATAATATCATTTGTGATAAGTCACACATTGATGAAGCACGGATATTATACCCAATTTAGGTTTAGTGTTATAAAGTTCTATTACTATTATAAACCAACAAATATTTTAAACTATTAATTTGCAACGGAAACGGAAGTCAATCAATATTTGTGTTCAACGCATCAATATGTAGTATAGAAAATGGACACAGTAGCTAAATATGTGAAACGGGAGGGAAAGTAAAAGAATGCCTCCATGATAGGGCTGGGTCACGAGCGCGAGAACGGAACTGAATCGCCACTCTTTCCTGCGGAACGCGACTCACGATTCACTTCAGCGGAACGCGGAACAGTATCGCCAAACGATTCCCGATTCACTCCACTGTCTCTGT